CGCACACATTTCATTTTAAGTATACATTAGTTCAGCTACAAAAAGCAGAAAATATTCGATAAATGTTGTGATCGATAATGCAAATAAACTCCGAAGAATATTTTACAAAAGATAATTTTCAGATCTTTACATCTTTTTAAAAATCTTGAGGACTTTCTTAGAATAATAGTCTTTTGATAAAATTTCATAAAAAACGCGTCTCTAAAAACAAAATACTTTACAGAGGTCTTTTAGACATGCATGTTGTCTTGATAAACATTTTGATTATATAATTTATTATTCGTATTGTATGAGAGTACAGTACACGTATAAATATTTGTGTTATATTTATATTTTACACATTTTATGTACAATTTTATCTTTTTTGTTAATTAATTTCGTAAATAATTTGTTGCCGTCATTTTACTTTCATCGTTAATAATATTGTTTATATGATATGGTAATTACAACAATGTAATATATATATATATATATTATTTTATTTTAGTAGTATATAATGTAAATTAAATCTGTCGCTTATGCCAGTTCAAGATGCATCAAAGTATAAAAACATTGCGTTTTCATATTTAATTAATTATAAATACATTTATTGTTTTTCGATAAAACTATTCCTACAGATTGTGACATGGCCTGCCACAAGAAATGCGAAAAACTAACAGGAAACTTATGTGGATTAAATCAAAAGCTAGTTGCGGAAGCATTACAAGCTTTAAAAAGAGGTGAGTAATGTTTCTTCGCGTTAATAATTATTTAATTACAAAATTTCGATAAATATAGTCCTGTTAATATATTATTGGATATTCTTCGTTCCTCGCCTGATTCCACGAGATGAATATGTTTATACGTAGGTAATGTTTGAGTTGTGAAAGTTATTCTTAAGAAAAGTCTCATGGTTAAATTATACGAGCAAGTCTTACAAGACAATTAGAGAAGCGAATTAGTAAATTATGAAATATAATTTCAAAAATTTTTCTTAACATACTCGATAAAAAGGTTTTTATATTTATATACATATAAATTAAATACACAGCCACCTATCCAAGTACTTAATACACTTAATTTCTTCCTGCACACATATCCTAACTAAGTCTGCAGAAACAGGTTTTGAGCAGAATATGCTATCAATTTTTAATAGCAGAAAGACAGCTAATTTTAAACAGTATATGATCAGATATGTCTGCAAATTACTGTTAAAAATATGACAACTCCTGTTAATAACATGCAATAGATTATATGGAGAAACCAAACAAACGCAATGCAAATCGAGCAGCATCTGTATAAAACAGTTTAACAATAGATCGACAGCAGAAATCAAGCAAATTCTATATAGTCATTAAATACGATATAATTACAATAAATAACTGCTTCTTAGTTGTGTTCATTTTTTGTATGTAAAATTCATAACTGAAATTGCTAATTACAATTTATAACATACTAGACATTACAAACACGCGCTGTGCGCGCGCTATTTACCTTTTTCAACCCAAGAGCAAAAATTAACATAATACTATTATACTACTATCATACTATAATATTTTTAACTTCATGATACACAATTGTCAAAACAATCCTCTGTGAGATCAATACAATGACAACTATTCACAAAGTTAGCGTAGCGAGAGAACCAATCAGCATTGCGAAAAAACGATAACAATAAAATTCGAGAAATACGAGTAATCGATATCATGTCTTTTTTTAGAAAGGACTAGACGTTACAAACGCGCTATTTATCGCGCTATGCGCGCGATATTTATCTTTTTCAACACAAGAACAAAAATTAATATAATATTATTGTACTACTATTATACTATAATATTTTTAACTTCTTGATTCACAATTGTCAAAACGATCCCCTGTGAGGTCAATACAATGACAACTATTCACGAAGTTAGCGACGAGAGAACCAATCGGCATCGCGGAAAAGCGGCAACAATATTTCGAGATAATATTGCGAGTAATTGACTTGCATGTACTTTTTTTTAAAAGGATTATTATTATTCATATATCTTTTATGTATGCACTTGATGTAAGATGTGATTATGTCTTTGTAACAAGATAGTAATAAGTATAATATGTAATAAGTATAATATAAGTATATCTGAAAAATGATCATTGGTACATATAAAAATCAATAGCCACAATATATAGCTTTAAAAAAATTTTATGGTTTACTTATACTATACAGAATAAATTAATTTTTATATTAATAAAATAGTTAAAATTAAAGTAAAAATTATTTTTACTAAATAAAAGAAATAATAGAGACAATACTTTTCAAGGTTAGAACTATAATGTCATAATTTAAATGGTATGAAACAGCAAATCCTGCTCGATTTCTGCTGTTCGAAGATCATGGCAGGCTCTATTCGGTTTCTGCCATCATTCTGTCGGCAGATTCTGAACTGAATGCGGATGCAATTGATGCCAGTCTATTAATGTGTTCTTGTCTCTACTGAGCGATATTGCTGTTAGTTTGTCAACATATTGCTAATATTTTGCTTACTAGATACTTCTTCACACACGCACGCACGCACACGCGCGCGCGCATACACACACACACACACACACACACACACACCGCGCACACATCACGCACACAATGCGTGGGTGTGTATATTACTGTAGATATATTCATCTATTTTTACTATCCATATTTTCATGTTTGTTGCACTCTTGAAATAATTCTGTCCAACAAACTGTTGCATGAGTTAAACAAATATATGTTTTTATTCTAACACATATAAATACGTGAATAATTCTTCCACTTTATTAGATTTTATTTTCTTCTATTTTATTTATCAAAGTATTATTTATAGAATAGATTTACTGATTATTATTTATCTTTAGCGCCTTCACAATCCTCGGATATTCAACGGAACTCGGAATCAGATCATTTTCCAAGTGGTCGGATAACACCACCGGCAACGAATTTGCCCAGATTCAAGAAATATACCGTAACGGATTTTAATTTTCTCAAAGTAAGTAAATAAAAAATTTTGTTAATATTTTTTCTAATGATAAAATACTAAATTATTTCGGACGAATTTTGCACCTACTACTTGAATGCAAATATCTGACTTAATTCATAATATATATCTTTTTATATGTGCTTGTGTTAACATTTTGTACGTTGTAATAGCTGTCGTATTCTATTCTAAAAAGCAAACTATTCCTAGACTATTCCTCAACCACATTACGTACTTTAAATATATAATCACATACGCCTACATACGCATACATATATCAAGAAAATTTGAAAATTTTGCATTCTATTAGTAATCGCTATTATGTTTCAAATACTTGGATCAGTTTTCTATAAAACTGATGAATGTGTAAGAACGATAAAACGATTTGACATTTACAATTTAATATATAAAACTCCAATCATATATGTAAAAAAATATTTTTAACTATATATTTTATATATTTTTAACTATTTTAATTTAATGAAATTATTGCATTTGTTACGAAAATACATTTTTAACGCATTTGCAAAAAAATAGTAAGAAAAGAAAAAAAATTGAAGAAGACAACAAAGATAAAAAAGGAAAGAAAAATAAAAAAGATAGAAAGGAAGAAAAAAGAATAAAGAAAGATAAAGAAAAGAAAGGGAGAGAAAAAAGAAAAAAAACAGAAGGAGAAGAAGGATTAAAAATAAAACTATCAAAAAAAGAGAGAAGGAATAGAACAAAAAAGAATAGAAGAAAACGAAAAAATAAAGAAAAAAAGTAACAAAGAGAGAGGGGGGAGGAAGGAAAAACAAAGAAGGGGAAAGAAATGAAAGAAAATGAATAAAAGAAAAGAAAACAATGGAATAGTGTACGTATTTTTTATATGTATTGATATACTATATATCAATCTAAAAAGAATAGTGTTCTTTTATTTTTAAGTATTAAATTTTGATATATTTCCGGAAAAACATTACCACAATATATTTTCATGAAAATTTTTTAAAATTTATATCAATACATATAAATACAAAATTTTTATTGACTAAAACAACGTATGTTTAATATAACTTCTGTAAAAATCATTAATATAAAAAAATCTATTATTAATCTTTTCACTAATTAAACGATTATATTTATGTTCGAATATTATGTTCGAAAGAATTGATATCAATTCCACAAGTATTTATTCATAATCTTTATTAGCAAATATAAATTTCAAAAACTTAATTTGAATCATGTATATTTATATCACATGAATTGCTTAACTCAAACAATATTTTCCAATCTGAATGAAGAAATCTTTCAGATAGATATCAATGTCCAATTATTGAATTTAGATAAGACATCAATGTCCAATTATTAAGTTTACTATTAATACATAAATATACTATAAAACAAATACTATAAACATATTTTTTACTGAAAAATAATCGTATATTGTCGACATTTATTTGAGTGTGAAGATACTTGAAAGAGATACTTGAAAGAGAATTTGTACGAAATAGCTAAGTAAATATAGATTACCAGAATTAGTACATGCGCAATGCATTATTTTTAACATCTGATGCGCGTGTCAAGATTTGCCCCTTAATTTAAATTCAAAACAAGCGTGTACTTTCAATTATATATTACAATTATATATTATTTTAAATTTAGTCGAATATATATGTAATGGTTACATTGTAATTTTAAAGTTTCTATTTGACTATATATCAAATTATTACATCAAAAAGAAAAAAATTATATAAAAATAATATTTTATGGTATATATAAAATGAATTAATATTTTCACATGTACATTCTATAGTATAAAATGATAAAACACATTTAAGATTCTTTTTAGATTCGAAATTTTTATTAATTGTCAAATACATTAGAAATGTAAAATATATGCTCATTGAATTATATGTATTTTTAAATATAATAAAAAATGTATTTATCAATACCATTTATTAATTTATGCTATTAAATTACATATAATATCAGTTTATGCTATTAAATTACATATAATATCAGTCATTAATTACTTATAATATTAGTTGCATAAAAATAAATAATTTCATTTGATATATCACGAGGAAAAATTTTTATATAGTTTTTTGATGTTCATATACAATACGGAATATGGTGACTCGTTGCTAGATTTAAACGCAATGAAGCTCCATGGAATGGCTCCCACTGAGACGAATGCATCATTTTTCGATCAACTTAACTTTCACATGAAATAACTTTCAATGCAATAACTTCAAAAATAATATGAATGATGTAAACAATTAGTATATTTTCAATGTATGAAATCAAAATTATCTATAATTATCTATAATTTGCTGTTATCCATAAAACATATGAATCATTATTTCATAATTTTACTGTGTAAAATAAATTGAAAATTTAAAAATGGGAATTAATCAATATAACATGTAATTAATGTAATCAATATGATCAATATAATTTTTTAGAAAAAAATAAAAATCAATTTGGTTTTTAATAATGACCTAAGTTAATATAACATATATGAAGCACATGAGTCTAAAATTTAATTAATTTAATTTAAATTAAATTAAATTGTACATATATGTTTTTAATATTGTTATGACAGAGCAGCAATCCGCTCGTTGCCACCGAAGATTGATTAAGAAAGAGAACATCGTACTGACGTGACGCGGAATGTTTCAGTGGTCGTGATGGCGGATGTTTTTGAGAAAATAATTGCGAGAGAGTTGCCGAGCAGTTGTCATCTTTAAGAATATTTTTGTTCTTATTTAATTAATAAAGTTTGCTCCTTGTAATAAAAACAGTTTTGTTTATCTTGCGAATACGAGAGTGAAATGTGCGCCGCGAGCGCGACAAACGTGGGAGTGCCCGCCATGAGTGCGACAATAAATAAGCGAAAAAAAAAAGTAATATAAATTCATCAAAACGTTTTATCAGATTTCAAATATTTATTTTATTTCTCATTATTACTTAAGATATCAATAACATAGACATAGCAAATATTTAATCTTTTAAAGTTTGATTTTTGTAAATCCCCTTGCTTTTCACACCTATTCTTTTAGACTTAGTCTTCGTGATTTACACTATCGAAATAAACATTTTGCATCTGCTTTTCTCTTACGTTCTATCAATTTTCCCAAATTAGATATTACAGATCTGAATCATCAAATTAATAAAAATATTTTTATTGTATTTATATTGTATTTGTGATATTTTTTTGAATTCGGAAATGATTCTCTTCATTTTTTTTTTAAATATTTGTAGTTTCTCGAATATTTTCAGACTGCTAATAGTAGTAGTAGTAATAGTAATAGTAATAGTAGTAATAGTAGTAATAAGAAAAGCGAATGGGCTTACTAAGAACCCTAATGTCATCTAGATCTAGAAAATTCTTTTGTGACTCCGCTAGTTTTTTAATGTGAACAAGTAGTCTCAGCCTGGCATCCGACGCCAGATTTATCAGACTGCTCACCTTTTTTTCGTTTAGATTCTCGAGCTCCAAGAACATACAGCCCCAGAATCTATATCTTTTGCATGCAAGTGCAGGACATCTACACAATATGTGAGAGCTGTCCTCGCTTTCCTCTCCGCATAGGCGGCAGTCTTTTTGCTCAGCAAGAGCGAGTCTAAAAGTGACATCTCAGAACAACATGTCCCGTAAGGAGACCTTATCCTTAGTCTTGTTCTGTTCATTGCCAGCAGTTGCTCTACTTGGCAGGGGACGCTTCATCAATTGTTGGAACTGTCGATCACCAATTGCCGCCTTTTCAGGAGTTTGTATATCCCCGGTCCAGCGATGAAGCTTCTCCCAACAATGAAAGAAACGCCAATGATCACTAGAGCTGGATTCATTTGAATCTCCAGTTTGGCCAGCTCGTCAACCATCTTATTTCCAAGAATGTCTTGATGTCCCGAAATTTACACAGGATTAAACTATTGGATTAGTCTGGTTCCCCTAGTCTGGTTAAAGCCTGCAATCCCATACTACAGCTGATCTATAATGATCTTTGCAAGGACATAGATGGTTGCCCTGCTGTCAGAGCAAATGAATATGCGTTGATTTACGTTCTTTGCTTCAGTTTTCAGATTGCTATCGATCATAGATACAAATGTTCGATAATTTCTAAAATAGTAAGATTCAAATTCCGATTACATTAATTTTTCTATCGCGATTACTTACAACGAAACTTCAAATTTAGTTATAAAATTCCTATTTAAATCTGTAATGGCTGTTGATAATTTTGTGGCAAAATATTTTTTGACAATATTGTTGTCACTGGATGTACCTTTTTCTTATTTCATAATGTCTACTAAAAAACTTTGTTAGAAGACAAAATGTATCTCGCTTTTTCTTTGTTTGACTTTTCGTTTATGACTCTCGTCTTTTACTGTATGTTTGAGAATAGGATAATTCAAGTTTCCGTTATTCTTTGTATTTATCCCATGAATCACCCGTTATATGTTCCGAGCTAAGTATACATCATGCGTACATGGCATGGGATGCACGTGACCAACACATGCTCTGTGGATTCCGCAGCGCACTTGTACCTCGAAATTAGGACCAAGGAGCATTGTTCGTTGTGCATAACACGAGTTTGTTTCTTACTCCCGATCGATACTCTAGACAGATCTCTAGACATAGTTTAGCATTCTCCGTTCTGTCTTTGCTTTCATCGTCTTCTCATATCCGAATCAAAATTCGTTATCGCTACCGCATTTGCCGTAAGAATTAAAGTGATGTATTGTATGAAGTGTACCCGGAGGTCGACCAAAAACCATAAATTGAATCGGGCTATTGGGTTGTCGGAAAAGTCATGACGTATTTTTTCTATGTTTTTCAAAGGTTATTTATTTATATAAAGAACAAAGATCAATCAACGATATATTGCCCATTTTGTTCGATAACCTTTTGTCATCTTTCAGAGTTTCATAATTCCTCGTTCATAAAAGCACCTGTCTTTATCAGCGAAAAACTGAACAAAATACTGATTTATAGCCTCATTTGAATTAAACGTTATACCATGCAAGGAGTT